ATGGCATGATGTAAACAGAGAAAGCATTAAAAAAAATCAAGTTCAGCAAGTAGAGCAATCACAAACGAACAGGCATAAAATCAATTTCAGCAAGTTGAGCAACACAAACGAACATACCTAATATGAACAAATTCAGATATGGAACCATCGGCCAACTGCCCCCTGGCTGCCGTAGCGGCCATTTTCGAAAATGGGCGCCCGAAAGACATCAGCAGTTAGATGAATTTTGCTGCTATTGAAAGCATGCCTTTCCATCTATAGTAATATTATAAAGGGGGGGAAAGATTTGTTTGTTTGTTCGATTGTTCATTTATTTGATTATTCGTTTCTCTATCTGTTTGTTTGTTCGTCGTGGACATGACTTTGTGCTTTTATTCTTATTGAATACGAACCCTATCACTCCACTTTGAGCAACAATGGACTCCCACCAACGTTTAAAATACGTTCTGTTCTATATGTCATTCATGAAAGCTGTTCAACAAATAAATAGGGGGTGATTTGAAATCACAAAATCACATTTAGTTAAAGTATTATCTATATCTACAGCTATCGATTGTACATATGAATCTGAAACGTCCTTCTCAATGATTTCGATCATATTTGAATCATCCTTGTCTTTCATACTCCGTATATATCTGAAGATAACCATATATTATCAACAAAAGTATTGAAATGTATGTATGTAACAACAGTTTGGAATCATTTCCAATATACATTGTCTTCTTGAACAAAGTCCAGATCCATATCAATGGAAGGACTATGACGATACCCCTTGTCAATTTTCGATTATCTCCGGAACATTGAACATCGCGTTTACCTACATATGTTATTGTTTGTTGAATTACACTATCCAAACAAGTATCCTATTTGCTAGCTTGGCATCTATATAAACTGGGAATGGAAATATGACGCTTCCTCCATCGGAAGATTTCTATTATTAAATACTAATCTTGCATTACAATTCGTAGGGCACAATGATAATAATAATAATCTCGATTTTGAACACCCTACATCTCAGTAATCATTCTTGCTAGACCCCGAGTGTGATGAATCGATGAAATCAGCTTTTCAGGAAGAATCTGTAAATTCAATGAAATACAGGGTGTTCTATTTGAAATAAGGAAGTTGATAATAATTCCGGAATAACTGAAAAAGTGGTAACATCGACAATAACATTTTCAAATCCACCACGTTTTGAAATCACCCTGTACATATATTCAAAAAATCTAACAAACGGTTACCAAGATATTCTCCTGGTTCCATACTTTTGCCCAACCCTGTATATAGCATATTCGAATGAGATATACCAAGGTTCAACAATACTTTTTCATTCAAACATAGGAACCTATTCTATAAAATAATTATTTGAACTTCTACCTGTATATTGATGGTTTTCAAGTTCGAAAAGTAGAATAAAGAATTAACATGGTTTCAATTAGAAAAATTCACAAAGTCGAAATACATATATTCTGTCGACAACTGGTATAACTTATACCTGTTTGTAACTGATGAATAAGGTATATTATGCATTCATGAGAGGATCTTTCCAGGAATCAATTTGGTTGTATCATAATAATATGACTGGGAATCATAATATGTCTTCCGCTATACTGTGTCGAGAATATACATGAGCATTCACCATCTTAATGGACTTGAAAATTTTCGAATTTCGATTCCTCGACTACAAACACATAAACATACTAACCATCTGGAATCTTTGAAAAACAGTTCGAATTTCTAGTGCAGTGAAATAATATAACTCAATACATCGTTATGTCATCAAGTTATCATTTCATGCACGTCTCTGTTGAGCCACTTCGACTGCACCATGAACAGTTCCCTCAATGTCTTGAGCTGAATTTCTAAAGTCTATACCAAAGAACACCTCATACTTATTCAAGTTCGCTCAAAGGTTCGCAGTGTCAAAACAATTAGCAAATAATAATTAATAATAATAGCTGGGTAGCAGCGCGTTCGGGCAATCTCCATCAAGCTTAGTTAAAGCGCCATAATTAGGAACATAATTGATTTGAGATGATCGCCGAACCTTTAATGTTGCGGGAGGTTCATGGATATAATCTAAGATATTTGAAAGCTTTCAAATGTTGAGTTAGATGAAGTTTGGGTAGAACGGAGTCGTGGAGACTCTCAAGATGGAGTTGTGTGAAAGATTGTCTATTGAGATGGAAAGTTATAGTTTTCATAACCAATAGAATGATCATGTACCAGACGAGTTATGAAATCACCGATATTTCCGAAAAGCTATATCAGGAGGCAAGATGGGATGACTACTGGCGTGCAAAGGATATCACCCAGTATACAGGGTAACTCACGGTCGATGGTAGGTAATACGTTTATGGAGAACGAAACGCAGGATTTTTCTGTTCTATCGATCGGAAATATTTTCTATCTCACTCGATTTTCGAGATCAAAAATAATTTGTGTTGAATATGATCCAAAACATATCCCTTATTGAACTCAAGTAAATCAGGGCTCTCAGTTCATGAAGAGTTGATATTTCAGTGGTGGTTCGAACAGGCTTTATGTATTTAATTTACACCGAGAAATCGGCTTCATATCATACAGGGAGCTGAAATTATTTTTATATCCGTTGTTCATACAAGTGGTAAAAAGCTCATTTTTTCAAATAGAACCTACTGTTATTCACTCAATGAATTGGAGGACGATGAGGAATGCTACAAGATGTCATTGCATGTCTCTATACCTAAATCATCAAGTTCTCTCAATAAAGCTGCTTTTTGTGAAATAATATAATTTTATGAAGAAGAAAATTCAAGATAGCCATGAAAATATCAAGCTCATGACAGTTCGGTGACATTAATGAGTAATCCAGTAATTTTTATTGACAGTAGAATTTTTGGAATTTGACTCAGAATATCTTATCATTTGTGACAATACACGCAAATGTGATCAAATCATTGCCCGAACTTGCAGAAAATTCAACCAAATGTATCCTAAATTGACACCAATGAACGAGAAGTGGTTTGTAAGATTACAAAATGATTATATCTACTATGGCTCAAAGTTGTACAAATGAACATACACTTTTTGTTTTGAATGACGGGTTATCTATCTCCTTTTAAACATTGGTGTTCATACTTTATTTGCAAAAAAACCTATCCAATAGAAAATAACTATAGCCTGTAGATGAATTAGTTAATTCACTGATCCACGGAGATACTTGAAAATTATATTATAAAGAATGAACTTATTGATAGTATACTATGATCAATTGATCATCATCATACAGGTCGTGGAAAGAAATTCTGCATTGAGAAAACCCAATCACGATTCCGAGAATATCACTTCATAAGAAATAATTTTGTCAACACAAGCAGTTGTCATTTGACCGCACACATGGAGTATTCGTTGCACCGTGTCTATCATGGACGTATTTATACGTCCATGGTGTCTATAGACGTTTGTCTCATATGCTTCGGCAAAACGAATTCGTGCAAACAGCTATAGGGATGTCAAATCACGCCATATCATGTGCGAGCGATTCATCGGTTTCGTCATCAAGAAATGCGGTCGAAGCCACCACGGTGAAGCGGAATCATTCATCGGCAGCAGAACGAGACGGTCGTTCGTTGTATTTCATGAAAAGTCATCCTGAGTGAAACAATGTGTTCACACGAAACAAAAGGAATTGTTGAATCAAGCAACATTTAATTGAATGATCAAATAAGAGTGTCATATATGCACGACAAAATATAATCTTGAAATGAGTAAATCTATATCTTGTTTCAGAGCGAATTTGAAGTTTGAATTAAGTAAATATGTCTTGAATGAACTCTGGATCTTATTCAATCAAGCACATCCATGAATTTTCATGAAGAGATATTGAATTGGCTCAAACAATCATTTTGTTTGATTCGAAATAACAAGATGTTGATTCAATCAAATATTAAGTTGATTCAATAATATATTTGGTTGATTCAAAGAAATATTTGGTTGATTCAAAGAAGTATTTGTTTGATTCAATGAATTATTTGGTAGATTCAATGAAATATTTGGTTAATTCAATGAAATATTTGGTTAATTCAATGAAATATTTTGTTAATTCAATGAAATATTTCGTTGATTCAAGAGAGATTGTATTTTCATTCGACATATTGTTCTGTTGAATCAAATTCAGTATCGATTCGGGAGTTTCCTGAAATTTTACATCAAAAGAAACTAAATTAAGAAACTATCCGACTTCTACCAGTCTTTACTTCCCTTCAGCTGATGCAAAACTATTTGGGATTGCTAATCGTCCTATAAGTTCGATGCATCCAGCTGATATTTCAAAGACGAAGAATCCGGCCCCACGTATATGATGAATTTGAGGCATGTATAGACGAGGCGAAATGATCGCCATCTAGAGGAGGAAATGTAACTTGATGTAGAATGAACAAAATATCTCATTGATATTACATATTTCGTTGCTCTATTCAAGCAGATGTTCCGTTCGAAACGAGTTCATTGCTACATCGGAATAAGAAAACATGTATGTTGTTTCAAAGATATAATATCATCAAGATGATCATTATTTCGTCAAATCAACAAAATGTTTATAGTTGAATCAACATCGACATTATTTTGGATCGGCATAATTTGTTCTTGAGGAAACCATATATTTTGTTGATGGAATTGATATTATACTGTTGATTCAATTAGACTACATTCTTGATTTGAACAAGCTGCTTCCATGAAATAATCATGTATCTGGTTGATTCAACAAAAAACTGCTCAGTCCAACAAAAATAGTTTAAGCATAAATAATTTGTTGAAACAACAAATCCTTTTTTTCCGTGCAAGTGTGGAAAATGTGTCTATGTACGATGCCTCAATTTAGATTTTTATATGAAATAGTTTTCACAGATTCCATAATGTTGATAAATATACAAATTATGATGAGTATAATGTGCGAACATTTAGGCAAAGTAAATCCTGCTTACGATATCCGTTTCTGTTGTCATAAATCAATCACTCACCGCGTTGATGTAATTGATGAGACTGAGGCCTCCGTCCCAAGGCTGCTCTTTGTCGCAAGACACGTTGGACAACTTGAGGGTGTGCGATTGTTCGAGGGTTTGTAGACCGACGGCGAACACGAAAACAGAATCGTACATCAGGGCTGCTTCGGCCTGAAATGAAAAGAATTGTTCACAATTGAATCCCCTCATCCAACAATGAACCAATCAACTATTTGTGAAAAAACGAGAAATTATCATAATGAGAACCCAATTGAGCATCAATACCCAACAAGAATCCAACAATTTGGGAATTTAGCGCTGTCTCGAGGCTGATAAAACCATCTTGCTTGCATGAAAATATTCGAATTGGAGTTCAGTGTGAGGATCTGAAGCGACTTGGTCCTTTTTCGAAGGATGTATTTTTCAAAACATTGAGGATCCAAAGTTACTTGGTTCCATTTTACTGATTGACCACCAGTGTATGTGTTCAGTTTGTTTGGCAGACTTTTAATCTCATTATAAAATGTTCGAACAAGTAGGTTTTCGGAGGATTGAAATAAGGTTGGATTAGGTGGAGCGCCAGAGGTAGGAATGATGATATATCCGAAACTGTAGAAAACTTTATTCTTCGGAGCGATTTCTGCAGAGGCATTGAGATGGTGCTCTTGATGAAATGCATTCTAGAGGAGTCGATGAAATTGGTTAGTATCAGTTTGTGGTTTCTGATGATTCCTGGTCATAGTTTCATACCCAACGATAGCGATTTCGGAGATGTTGAATATGCGATCAAAGAACATGATAAGATATCTTTCCCATGAGAATATTGTAATATCAGGCGAGCATGTAGGAGGAAATGCCACATTATTAATACAAATGAAACAGAAAAATGTGATTTTCTCAGCACAACCGAAACGGAGGAAGCTATTCAAATCTGTATATTATCTGTGGTATATAGGTAAAGCAATTTCGATAATAATAATAATCGAAATTGAGTATCGAATTCAGAAAAGAAACAATGGCATCAGTATTCGTTGAGCCAAATCGGTGCTAGATTTTGGAAGGATGTAAATCGATGTTCTGTGTATGGTTACTATCGAGTCCCGTCATCTTCCATTGTTGTTCATATTTGGAACATTTGTGAAAATGCCAGTTGCCCTGCGTTCAAACATCCTGTACAATAATTTCGATATTTTAACCTTACGATAAAGTTCAATATCCTCACGAAGAGTTTGTCTATCTCCTGTCACAATGGATCTTTAGGATCTTCTCTTCACAACGTGAACACCCGGTATATTACGGGTGAGTCAGTGGTAGACAGACAAACCTCCTATTCCACTAGGTACTTCATTTCAGAGTTTACAGTTCACTTGAGAAGCAGCCTGTTTGAGATACTAGTTGTTGAATATATGAACAAAATTCAGCAATGCAATAGTATATTGTGCAACAAGTGGAAAAAGTGCTTTTCCCCACATGCTGCACACTATACTTTTTCTACAACTGCTCTTATTTAGAGAATCCAAGGAATGTAGCTTATTGGTATTCATTTTATAATGTGGCACTATGCCAAGTTTTGGTCGATTTTCGTTGATTCTCCATGGAAATGTATGTGGTGTTGGCAAAGTGCCGTGAGAAAAAATATTTCTCACAGAGTGAGCAATACATGGTTTTGAAACTAAGTTAGCTATGAGAAATGCGCTACTTTTCATAGCAGTAGTAGGAAAATATTATTCTTCTTTTTTTCTTGAACACGTAGCAATATCACCCCAAGATATATCTCAAATTCTTCGCAGATATCCCAGTGTTAATAAAGTTCCAAAAATGCAAATCCAAAGTAATTACTTCGAATAATCTGGAATAGTATATATCGAGTGATTTTTCTTACAGGGGTTACGATGAAATCAATATCAACCTTAATTGTTTCACCTCAGAGAGAATGTATTTTTGGACATATGTTGATAGGCACTACTCACCTCGAATTGAGGTTAGGAATCCGTTTTTCGGTCTCATTATGACTCACTCTGTAAATTATATTCACAGATATCTGCTTAGAACCTCTGATGAAGTTCACATGAGTTGCAAGACATGAGTCTTGTGTTTTTGTTTTACCCTGCGAAAAATAATATCTATTATCTTTGGGAGAAGTCCATCATATTGCTCAAAGTGGAGTGAAATATTTCTGAGGAAGGAAGAAGTGACTTAGAGCATTCCTCTATTCCTTCTTTTGGACTATCTATTAATATTCAACAATATGTGACAAACACATCTAAATACAGTTCTGTTGATCTGATGAAGTTCGTCATTGAAAACGAAGAAAGTTTTTTCATATCATGATTATTTTATGTTATTTAACAAAGTCACATTCTCTAGAACTGGATTTGTTTTTCACTCGAATGAAATGGAGTTTAATGTCAATTTGAACGAATTCATTTTGATCATCAGAATGTGATCATCATAGAGCAGTCAATCAATCAATTATCACTTAGTTAAATCAATGATGAGTTACATCACATAAAGTTTGAGTTAAAGAATAACAATATCTTGTTGCGGTAACAACATATTATTTTGTCAAGAATATATGACACGCAGATATATACAGTGTCATTCATAAAGTCGGCATCATATGGGAAAAACTTTTATTAATGACTTATTTTGGAATTCGAGTTGGACGTTAAGTTTTGCTTCAAACAAGATGGAAAATAGCCTACTCAATCGGGGTCACGTGACTTTCACTACATGTCAGAAGTGACATTTTTTCAAATTAATCGCTTAAAGTAGGCTTATTTGTTCGAATATCGAAAAAGTTTACTTGAAAAAGTTGTTTCTATTTGAATTTTACACATGCTTCTCGAATTTGATCTTTTTATTGCAACTTTTTGATTTTGATTTTTTTTTAATTTTTCGAAATTTCTGTAATATTTGAAGAATTGTTGATTCCATGGAACTACTTCATACCAGTAGGTTTTTCATGCTACTTACTTTCAATTATTCATTATCACTGATTATGGACAGAGATATGATTTTCTTCAGAAAATGATAATACCCGCTTCCAAATTCTGTTATGTTTGATGCAAAGTTGATACATTGTCAAGCTTTTAGAAACGAAATTTATTTAAACTGATCTTTTCAGCACTGAAAACATAAATTTGAATGAATTTCATGTCTAAATGCCTGACTCAAACATAACAGAATTTTGATGTTATGTTTGCATCAAAAATAACAGACTTTTGAAGCGGAGATTATCATTTTCTGAAGAAAATCATATTTTTGTCGGTAATTAGTGATAGTTAGTAATTGAAAGTTAGTAGCATGATGAAACTACTGGTATAAAGTAGTTTTATCGAATTTACAATTTTTTTAACATTACAGAGATTTCGAGTTTTTAAAAAATATCGAAATCTAAAAACTGTAATCGAAAGATAAAATCCGAGTCACATATGTAAAATTGAAATAGAAACAACTTTTTCAAGTGAACTTTTTCGATATTCGAAGAAATAAGCCTACTTTCAGGGATTAATTTGACAAAATGTCACTTTTGACATGTAGCGAAAGTCACGTGACCTCGATTGAGTAGGCCATTTTACATCTTTTTTGAAGCAAAACTCAACGTCCAACTCGAATTTCAAAATGAGTCATTAATAAAAGTTTTTCCCATATGATGCCGACATTATGAATGACACTGTATGTTAAATTCACGAATTTTATTTCTACTCGAGCATTTCCTTTTTTCCATGTAGAAAACCTTCTAATATTGACTCTTCCACATTTTTTAGTCGACGTTAGCGAAGCATTTAATTCTATCGAGTAGCGTGATGAAACCCTATCGTAGACGTAGTGATATATGATACGGCTCAATCGTACGCCGGATTTCACGTGGTTTCTTTTAATCCCAAGAGCTCGACAAAGGACTTCCCAGTCATTTCTCCGGAATTCCACTTGAGCTCGACACTAAAAACATTTCCTAGATTCCTCAGCAAATCGTATCGAATACATCTTGATCCATTTCGCTCGGTTGCGTATGAGTTACGGATGAGAGCAACTCCTTCTTCGGCGGAAGTTGTTCTTATCATTGTTTGCTCATTTCGGTAGAGTATGCGCCGGATGTTTTGAAAAATCGTGTCGATCACTTCCGTAGAATTACGCCAGTATCTCATCGTTATAGCCCGCCGGTGAAATTTGGTTATCTGAATTTTCTTTTTTCCTACTATATGACCTGGAGAATCACAATAACCCTTTGAATTTCTCTAACGACAGCCAGTCAATATAATTCGTTTGTCAAAAGGATGGATCCTACCTTTCATGTAAAGAGCTTCTCATAATGGTAATTTGTGCATTGGAATCATTCTTGATAAAATAGTTTGTGAACCCTGATGATCTTTTTTGGCTCTTCGAAACAAAGCAACTGGATACGAAGGATCACAAATTAGCTATCAAGTTTGGCTACCACTGTCAAACATGCATTCAGAAATCAGGAACAGTGACTAGGTGTTTCGCATACTCGAAATAGGTCTGTAACATGAGTTGGCGATTGATTGAGTGTTGTTAAGCTCACGCTCATCTCACGGCGCTGTCTAAGCTATCATTGACTCTGGTCAGTCGTCTTCCTCTGACTGTCTTGTACCGATACTAATCCTTGCCCTTTCCCCATTAATAGTGGCGTCTCCCATCCATCACATATTTTCTTAGAAACAAGAAATTTGACTTACGAAGTACATATTACTCGCTCTCATCTACATTTTGAGGCGGGATACCAAAGGTTAGGCATGAACAATATTGAACATTTAATAAATGTTGGAGTAAAATATAATTATGAGTACAGTTCAACATTGATGACGTGGTATAGTAGTAGCGGCTGTTTTTTGATTTGAAATATCCTAAAGCGATAGTTATTTATTATGATGTGGAAAAGGTAGGAGTAACACAACAAAAATCATAAAACATCAGTAGAAGCAGCATCAGAATATAAATTCTTACATGGGTGCATTTTTCTTGAAACGTTTTATTTTGGTTTCGTTCAGACGTTCTTGCAACTAAAACATATTCGGGATACCTGGACGAATCGTCTGGGCTACGTTTCAAGTAACGTTTTCAACAGTCCACAATAAGGTAGAAATGAAATGTTTCTGGAAGGTTCCATGTTTAGTGGAAAATGTGTTGTAGGTTTCATAGTCATA